TCTCATTCCTTCTTCAATGAATGGGTAAACAAACTGAGAATTATAACTTTGTGTTGTTACGCAGTCCCAAACAACCAAGATCAAAACAGCATTAAATTAGACATGCCAATGATTCCATAGCATTGAACCATGACAGTTAAAGTGGTGTCAAACTGCATTAATTCTACTGTGTAGATAAGGGATCTTCAAACTTTGTAAACAGAGGGCTAGTTCACAGTCCTCAGACTGTTGGGGCGAGGGAGGGGGGCGGACTATAGTTTGAAAAAGTGACATGAATGAATTCCTATGCATACTGCATATATCTTATCTGACATGTAAAAAATAATATTTAAAATGAAGAATAATTTTATTTCAATGGAAGTGTGAGCCTGAAATTGACTAATGAGATAGTCAAGTTAATTATGATTGTTGTTGTTCTTGTTGTTGTGTGTCTTTCAAGTCATTTCAGACTTGGGGAGACCCTAAGTCTAATGTTTAGGGTGGGTCTGGGTACCCCTGGTGTAGGTGCACCAAGATCAAAGTCCGAAAAATCTATGCCACACAGCCATTGATAGTCTCCCATTCCTTAGGTAGCTCTACCATAGCTATAACAAAACAGAGCCTTCAAAAGTGTAGCTTCTTCACTATAGACTTCTGAGGAGAAGCTGTTAAAAACAAGATCAAACGCCCAACTTTAATCTGCGAGGTGTAGTTTTTAATCTTTTCCACACATTGCCTCCAGAAAGGCAGCCCTGAACTCCAAACACCACCTGAATGCTTTTAGCTTGCCAGAAACAAAGTGAGTGAAAGATCAAAAGAAATGGGGATCGATAGGATTAAGGAATGGAAATGCTTTTGCCTTGCTATAGGGCAGCAGTCCATATTTACTTAATACATTGTTCACCTGAGCAGAAGCTCTCCAAAGAGAGAAAACATTGTCTACTGAATAAGCCTGGTTCAAAGTTCAGAAGGTACATTTCGACGCACTCATTTCTTTTTTGCCAAAGGCCAAGTGATCCAAGTGAAAGGGGCACTGACCTCGGGGAATGAGACAAAACTATTTTTTAGAGAAATCATTTATCCTTCTCCTTGAGAACGAGAAGCTCCCTAAACCTGAAAGGTAAAATCGGCATGGGTTCGCTCCCCAGCGCTGGAAATCTCCACAGACACACGATGCACAATAATCGCACAACCCTACTGGCCTAACAAATGTTTAATTAGCTGAACTGCTTCGTTTCCTTTCCTTTCCTTTTTTCCGCAGCTGTAATTTTACATAGTAATAAAAGTCTCTGATGGCATTTTTCTCATTATCTTTTTCATTTTGATAACTTGTATTTATTCCTTCAACTAGGATTGTGAAATTCATTTCCAGGCACTTAATTTCCTTTTCTTAACCACTTCTCCTCGTGCCTGCTTTACCCCTTGGCTCTCCTACTTTTCATCTTTGGCATCACAGGCTCCAGCGTGGAAGGAGAGCCGCTGCTAAGTTTGACAATTTATGCCGGCCCATCGTCGAAAGCTCTTTAAAAGCGAACATCTTGGCTAGCAGCGTTGTCATTGCCCAAAGCCATCATGAAATGGTGGCTGATAAAGTCATAAAAAGGACAAAGAGGCAATCACCTGCAACAAGTCATCAATTCCCTCTGATAGCAGAAAAGGGAAGAGAAGACGTCTGCAGGAAACACGTCAACTCGGAGGTCATTCCAGAGAGCGCAATGAGCAATATTTAAAGCATTCTTCACAAAATCACAGTACCGTACTAGCCTCTCGGGACTTGGTTCATTAAGTCCAGTTCTCCCCATTAGGAACTTTGGGCTTTTTGAAGAAAGAACAGGACATTCTCTTGCTAGCTTCAAGTCATTTAGTTTGTTCACCATACATGAATGAGAGTTATTTGAGGAATGTCTGTTAATTTTGTCATCCTCAACCAAATACAGCATGTCTTGACATTCAAGATGCCAAAGAAGGGAAACACTTTGTACTTTGGGATTTTTTTTCAGATATCTGTGCAGAAAAAAAAAGTTGTGTACAGAAAAGAAAATGATTTTTTTTCACAAAAAATACCATACCATATTGTATTTTTAAACGATGAATTTTAAATGTATATTCTATTCTATTGTTTTTTTAATCTTTGCAGATATTTTAATACATATATGTATCTTAATACATGCATTTTATTGTATGTATTTTATGGCGTTCTGTTTTCATCTGTGTTGTGTTCCACCTTGAGCTGTGAGAGAAGTGGGCAACAAACAAAATTGGTTGCTTTTGTTATCCTGCTCAGTTTTCTGTGCAAAACTCACATTTTGCACAGAACTTGCCATTCAGATTCCAAACTGAACACCAACCCTTCCCACTCTTCATTTCACAATGTGAATTAATTCAATAAAAAAGGAGAGGGAGGAGATATGGAGAAGTACAGCAAAGGGTTTGGAGGGGGGGAAACTATGCTCTTCACTGAATAGCAAATCCATCTGAATTGAACAAGTCTTTAGCTATTCACCTGTGAAAGCCCCATCTTCTCTCACTGAGTTCTTGGCTCCCTGTTGTTCTATTCCAGTGGTTCTCAACCTGGGGTCCCCAGATGTTGTTAGCCTACAACTCCCAGATATCCCGACCAGTTCTCCAGCTGTTAGGATTTCTGGGAGTTGAAGGCCAAAAACACCTGGGGACCCCAGGTTGAGAACCACTGTTCTATTCTAAAAAGGTGGCCACCCCAACCTGCTCTCCACCTGCTAGACAACAACTCCATCACCCCAGGCTTCCATGATCACTGCATTACAATATATTTGGAAGAAATTGTGTTGGGAAAAGTGACTCCAGATTGAGCAACAAAGAGAATCCATAACTAAGGACACAGAACAGGCACTACCAAATAATGTTGAATGAAAATTTTCAACCTGCAAGGACAAGCCATTTGCAGTAAGGCAACCATCTGCTTATTCCCTGCCACCCCAAGCAAGTACATCTGTATTTCATTTGACAAGTTACAGGAGACTGCATTTATTTCTCTCTCTTTTTTATTTTGAGAAACAAGAACACATTTCTTCTGCACAATGCCAACATATCAGTTCAACTTGGATAAACTTTAAAAAGAGATTGGGATTAATATTATATGATTTGGGTGGCAAAGCCTCTTTGGGAAGGTCAACACCTGCACTGTGTGAAATTCATTTTTTTTCCTCAAACAAAAACATTAGGCCTGTTTGATCAAGAAAAAATTTGTTTCTAAAATCGATTTGTAATTGGGGTGTTTTTTTGTTTCGATATTTAAAATAATTACAAAACTTTCCCAAAAAAAAGTTTTGGTATTTACGAAATTTTGTAAATATTTACGAATTGATTCGTTAAGATGGCGGACCCCCCGCGCATGCGCAAAAACACTTCCGAAGCTTCGTTATTTCAGGGGTCCTAGCCATACATGCCAGGCCAAAACGTCAGGATTCTAATATATCTGGAGAAGCATTCCTCCTTCCCCTTCCCCCTTTTTCCTTCCTTCCTTCCTTCCCCTTCCCCCTTTCTCTCCCCTTCCCCTTCCTTCTCCTTTCCCCTCCCTCCTTCCCTCCCTTCCTTTTCTTCTTCCTTCCTTCCTTGCCTCCCCCCGGATGCCGGCCTGGGGAAGCCAGCGCTGCCTGGCCACGCCCACCCGGCGCAGCCTCCGCTTGTTCTCCTGCTGCGGCTGGGAGGGGAACAGGAGGAACCTTATGGCCGCGGATCTTCTGCTGCGCTCCCTTGTTCTCCGTGGCCACGAGACGCCACCTGCTTTCCTCCCAGCCGCGCCAGGAGACAAGCGGAGGCAGCGCCTGGCCCGGTGTCCCCATGGAGAGAAGGAAGAAGGAAGGAAAGGGAGGAAAGGAAGGGAGCGAAGGAGGGAGAGGAAAGGAGAAGGAAGGAAGGGGAAGGGAAGAGGGAAGGGAAGAGAAAGGGGCAAGGGGAAGGAAGGAAAGAAGGGAAAGCGAGGGAGAAGGCTGGTGGAGTTTGGTCCAGATCCAACATTGTTTGAGTCCACAGTGATCTCTGGATGTAGGTAAACTACAACTCCAAAACCAAAGGACACTGCCCACCAAACCCTTCCAGTATTTTCTGTTAGTCAGGGGAGAACTGTGTGCCAAGTTTGGTTCAATTCCATCGTTGGTGGGGTTCAGAATGCTCTTTGATTATAGGTGAACTATAAATCCCAGTAACTACAACTCCCAAATGTCAATGTCTATTTCCCCCAAACTCCACCAGTGCCCTAAGGGCGAGCGCGCGCGGGCCGGCCAATCGGGAGCCGCGCTCGCGCCCAACAGGCAGGGGCGGGGCTTGGCTCACTGGGTGCGCGCTCGCGCCGCCCCTTCGCCCCGCCCGCCCCATTTACGAAACGGGCGAAAGCTCGTAAAAACTGTGGGGGTTGCCGTTTCGATATTTAAAAACCCTTCCGGGTTTGAAAATATGTTTTGTTATCGTTTCGTATATGCAAAAATTAACGAATGTTTAACAAATTAACGAACGAAACCGCACAGGCCTAAAAAACATCACTCTGGCTTGGAATATTTAAAATCTGCTAAACCAGGTGTCTTAGCATACTCCATCCTCTGGCAAAATCTGGTTCTGGTAAAATCACATTACTATTACTGTTCTTTTCAGGATGCTTAAATCTAAAGGCAACAAAAATGACCTTCTCTAGTCCTTAAAGGTAAAGGTAAAGCTTCCTCCCTGACATGAAGTCCAGTCGTGTCCGACTCTAGGGTGTGGTGCTCATCTTCATTTCTAAGCCAAAGAGCTGGCGTTGTCCATAGACACCTCCAAGGTCATGTGGCCGGCATGATTGCATGAAGCACCATTACCTTCCCGCCGGAGCAGTACCTAATTATCTACTCACATTTGCATGTTTTCAAACTGCTAGGTTGACAGAAGCTGAGGCTGACCACGGAAGCTCACGATGCTACCTGGATTCAAACCTGCGACCTTTCGTTCAACAAGCTCAGCAGCTCAGCGCTTTAACCCACTGCGCCACCAGGGGCTCCTCTCTCTAGTCTTACCTTGTTTTAAGTCCAGACTTTCCGATTTGTTGTCTTCTTTCAGTGAAGAAGTAGAATCTATGCTATTGTCTTGCCTGAGAACAAACAAAAACATATTTGAATTAGTGTGTGTTTTCACATTTCCAAAACTGAACCCTTTGTCCTTTAAGATATTTCTCACCATGACCATGTTAATGTTGGTTTTATTACACAATACAGTTAAGCATAGTTATTGGCCAATTTCAGAAAAACAAAAACCTAGAGGGATGGTTGAAGATTACCTATTCTAATTATTTTGGAAGACAACTATTTCATTTGTTTATGCAGCAGAGTTTCATGCCATGCAATAAATTGGTCCCTGCCAGCGCATTTCTCCTTTGCAAATATGAGATGGGAAATTGTATGTGATGATTTCCTCCCTACTTTGTCCACGAATGCTATTAGAGATATCAGCACTAACAGACAGGATTTCTTCTGCCAAAAAATAAAAATAAAATAAATCGCTGTTAGAGACTAAGAATCAACAGTGATTTAATTAAAATCTCAATTGTTCAGGCAGAGATATTGACAGCATTCATTTTATGTTTTGTCAGGTTTAAGTAGTGCAGCTTAGAAGGTACTTCTGCCATAGGATTTGACATATTTATATCACTTTCTGAGGAGTTTCTGCCTAGTCTTGAGAAATAACCACAACCTATGTTGGGTTTTGAATTCAATCTTGATAGCAAGAATATTATAGGAACATAGTAGGACATCTCTTTGTGGTTGAATGCACAAAACCTGACATCCAAAGAACCCTCTCCCCTAGGCTTTAGGTCAGAATTAGGAGATATGTGACTCTCCCAATGTTGGTGGATTGCAAAGCCCATGATCCCTCAAATCCAATGATGTCGGCTACAGCTGATGGGAATTCACTGCTGCATTAGGTGTTTATACAATAACATTTCACCATTTATACAACCTACAAAAATATGATGACTGTAGAAGCAAGAATAGGAGTAACGACAAGGAAGTCTGGGTCAAATCTCAGCCACCAAGAGAATTTTATGAAGCCAATATATTGCAGTCTGATCTCCCAAAATAGAAGATCAGATCTATTCCACTGTTCTAACACTGTTGTACTGAAATAAAATATATTATATGGCTATAATGTTTATAATGTCATTGTATTAATATATATTGTTTTTGTGTGTTTTTAAATCATTTCCAATTTATGGCAACCCTAAGGTGAACCTACCATGATTTTTTTGGCAAGATTTGTTCCTCCCTATGGAGCTGAGAGAGTGTAACTTGTACAAGGTCCCCCAGTGAGTTCCCATGACCAAACAGGGCTTTAGATCCTGGTCTCCAGAGATATAGTCCAACACTGGCTTTTGAATATATATCACATATGTTTATATTTGAATGTACTCAGCTATAAAAAAGAGTAGGGTTGCTGCCTCTTTAATAGCTGTATTGAAGAGAAAATGAAATCAGATAGCCTACCATGAAAATTCCCTCTTCTGTGTAACTACTGTAAGTCCTATTTACTTTTGTATGTGACTATCCACATTGCAAAAGGGGGCGACTATATATCGACAAAATCTGGGTACTGATCTAATTAAAATACATTTATATTTCATAAGAGTTCAAAATGGAGGTGATGGTGGTGCTGAGGGAGGTATGGACTAGAACGCAATATATAAACAATTTACAACAATTTGAATCTATAAACTTTAACAGGACACTACATGACAGGTTGCTTATCTAATTCCCATCTGGGGAGTGACTAGTCTGTCACTTTGACAGAATATAACTTCAGATTGCTGTCCCAACCCATTACTGATTCCAGGCAATGATTCATCAACTTCAATGAGAAAGAGAATACAGCTGAATATCATGAGCATACTGAAAGCCTTTGGTTTATCTGGTTGGGTATAATCAAACAGAGAGGTTCAAACCCATGTGATAAGTGAAACCTAAACTCTTGTGCATGTTCATCATGTGCTACTGTCCTTCAAAGAGATACTCTGCACACATAGCTGTATTCCTTGAGTGCATGGTGACTTTGACACAGCCTACTTCTGACTTCAGGGCTAATAAGATGTTGTCCCTTCCTTATAGTTGCCTTTGACACCTTCAGTCCTACAGCACATAGGTGGAAAAACTAGAAATCTGGCTCACAAAACATCTGTGGACACTTGTTTTAGTGTCAGAGATTTTCCAACAGAGTCACTTCGGTCAATAACATTGCCATCAGGTACATAGTCTTCAGCTAGTGTTAGCATATTTTGAGAAGCAAAAGAGAGGGCACATTTACTAAATGTGACTTCAAACAACTGATCACTACGACAATTTTCACTACATACTCCACATTCTTTCCACACTATTAAAAAAACAATTTTAACAGCAATCCACTTTATATCTGCAAAATTAAATTTTCTTTAGCTATAAATCCATTGGGTCATCAAGGACGGGTTAATTCTATTAAATTGCAAAGAGCCACTTAACTCAGAGTTGTTGCTAGTAAACTTTTAAAACTTTAAAAAAGTCTTACACAATTCATAATTTACCCTCCTTCATAAGAAGAAATATTAATTAAGTAACATATTAGAAAGGAAAGCCATTTCTACATATTTTCACTCTGTTTGTACAGAGCGGTGGAATCTGTAGCTCAAAAGGATGACATTTTATCTATTTTCTCACCATGATATTCAAATGTCTTTATAGAAAACAGGAAAGCAAATGAATGATTATAAGACACACTTGAGGAAACAGGATACAGCTCTCTGCTGGATTTTGAAACCATGGAAGGCGAGTCCAGTTGTTGAATTTAATGAGCATTTTGGCCATAAAATTATTTTATATTCATCTAACCAATTTCATACCTCAACTACCTTGTCTAAAATTTGTCAAGTCTGTATTATGTTAATATACTCACAATCATAGCACCTATATAGCAGGTCTGAATTAAATTTTTAACGTTTTAAGCTTAGTGTCATTAGATGTTTACCTTTCACAGGTTCACTTACAACTTACATCCAGTTACTCTAACTGTTACACTAAGATCCCTTCCGCACTACCCTTTATCCTGGGATCCGATCCCAGAATATCTGATTTAAACAAGATTATATGAGTCGCCACTGCCAGATAACCTGCGTTAAACAGATAATCTGGATCAGATCCTGGGATATAGGAGCCGTGTGGAAAGGGCCCAAAATTATGACTAGCAATCTCTTTCCTTAGTAAGGACTTCTGTGTTCATTTTAAAGTAGCCCCCTGGCTAATTTAGCTCTGGATGAAGAAAGCTCCTTTCCATTGGACAATGATTTCTTTCCATATACTTCTCTGGTTATATTGATAGAAACCTAACATAATATTGCAAAAGACTTCCCCATTCAGGATGAGGAACTGTCATTGATTCGGTCTGCTAGCCCAAACATTCAAGCTGTACTCCCAACACATTTGAAATTACACATTTTGAAAAAGCTTAAGCAAATACATCAGCAGAATATGTACATCTGCAATTTTAAAGTAAAAATTGCAATGCAGACATAATTTTGGCACTATGGAAAGCTGTATCCTATGAACTGCTGCTTGCAATCCAGACAACAATAGCACTTTTGTTCTCTAATACTGTTAAAATGATGCTTAAATTGTCTCGCAAATGCAGAGTGATGATAAACTAATAAATATGGCCATGTGCATTTGATTATGGGATTCAGCTGCAAAATTTCCTTGTTCCAGCACATAATTCTGAAATTATTTGGTGCAAAGTAAATAAAATCCAGAGGACAAGGGCAAACTTAACAGATATGCACAATGTTGGCACGTATCTTCACAGTACATCTCTCATGTGTTCCAGATAGGCTTGAGCAATGAAAGTACCTAACAATCATACCACTGCCATTTATAGCTTTCATTCGAAACCAAACACAGGATGAGGACCTCCATTCCTGCATTGATTCATATAGGTATCATTAAATACTAGTCACTGGCAAACAAAACAGTGGATGACGGGACACAATCATATTGTTTGCAGGTGAAGAAGGCAAAAAAGGATATCTGCTCTGGGATAATAAAGCTCCTGCTGCTCTGAGTCTTCCTGCCAAATATAACTCAACATGGCTCTTTTGGCAGTCACCTCTTTATTTCTAACTGCATAGCCTGTTTTAAGTACAGGTCATGGAAATGCCCAGATTCAAAATTCAGCATTAATCTCAAATTTATAACAAGTAAATAGTCTGCTCCAAAACCAGCTGGAGAAACTTTGCAGCACCTGGCTTGTATCTGCCACTTCAGGAGAAAGGGACACATACTAATATAGACGATCTGCTGTCCAAAACACTTTTGTCACTCATCAAGATTTCTTGATATAATTTCCTATTCCAGCTTAATATGTATGCCTTTTCTGCCCCCTTGTGGTCGATACATGCCAATAACCAGATAAGATTTCTCCCAGTTAATGTTAGCTTGAGCCACTGCAGTCTAGTGGTTTGAGACGAGGGTTCAAATCTCTAGTTGATCATGGAAACCCACTGGCTGACTGTGGGCAAGCCCCAATCTCTCAGCCTCAAAAGAGGGCAAAGATGGCAAACCCTTCTGAACAAATCTTGCCAAGAAAACTTCGTGATAGGGTCACTATAAGTCAGAAACAATTTGAAGGGACACAACAACAAAAAATTGCTAGCTTTCATCAATACATAATACAAAAAAGATTTTTAGAGAAGACCTTTATGAGTAAACTAAAAGTGATTCTCTGGAATTCTTCACAAGACAAGATGGAAGGAAGTACCACTTATGGTCCACTTTTGAAACATTTAAGTAGACCTAATAAGCCACGCTGAGTCCCCTTTGGGGTGAGAAGGGTGACATATAAATGTCATAAATAAATATATAAATAAATAAATAATAAAAGTAACATCCAATGCTGATTTTTATTTTTTTACTTACATGCCACATAGCTATTTTGATTTTTATTGGCTAATATATGTAAGCCACTGTCACAGATCTCTTTCCTCTTTATTATGTATGCATATTATGAGAATACTATTTTTTTCATGTCAGAAGCTACTTGAGAGACTGCAAGTCACTTCTGGTGTGAGAGAATTGGCCATCTGCAAGGATGTTGCCCAGGGGACTCCCGGATGTTTTTTGATGTTTTACCATCCTTGTGAGAGGCTTCTCTCATGTCCCCGCATGGGGAGCTGGAGTTGACAGAGGGAGCTCATCCACACTCTTCCCGGATTCGAACCTCTGACCTGTTGGTGGTCTTCAGTCCTGCTGGCACAAGGGTTTAACCCATTGCATCACCGGGGGCTCATCAGAATACTGATGAATCGATGGTGTTCACACAACCACTGAAATGAGTCTGTTAATCCTCTTCTTCACTTCACTTTACTTTATTTCTTAATTAGTCACTCTCCACCAAGGTGCTCCGAGTGACTTACAATTTAAAATAGCATTTCACAATATAAAAACATTCAACATAAAAACATTCAACAGTGACTATTTTTTTCTTCTAGGAAAAAGCAGATTTCTAGGAAAAAGCAGTCTTTCCACAATTTTATGATGTGTCAAATTGAAAATTCTCCAGATTCATTCAACTCTGATTATATGAGTCTCCACTGTTAGATGATTTAGGACAAACAGATAATCTGGGATCAAATCCTGGGATATAAGGCAATGTGGAAGGGGCCTCATCTTATATCTCAAAAGGCTCAGGCTCTGGAATAACTTATGTACAAAGGGGGTTTTCATTATCACTAACAGGGGAAAAAACAAATTGAGGAGAGAAACTAATTTGGAATTTAACTGTTTGCAAAGGTTTAACTAGAATTTGACTGGAGTTTCACCACGACTCTTGTGGTTCTCAAAAACATTCACCAAGCCTCTTCTACACTGCCATATAATCCAGTTCAAAGGAGATAATCTGGATTTTATGTGGCAATTTAGATGGGGTCCAAGACTCTTGAAAGTTTTACCCACAATTTTGCAGGGTTTCATTTCCCAAATGTGTTGTTTTCCAGAAGCAGCTTAAAAATTAGGAAACATGTCAGGAAGTTTTCATACATTCCATCAAGACTTTGCATTGTTAGAACCAAGTGTTTTTCCAGGTTTTAACTAAAATCTATGCTGGGATTTTATTCAGATGGAATGCTCAGTGAAAGGCCAAGTTAAAACACAATCTCTGCATCATATTAAATTTGATTTGCTCATTACAATTACTTACTGACTGGTGGATTCAACTGCTGTCTTCTCTTCATGACCATCAGCCTCTTCATCACTGTCGGAATCAGCTTCGTTCTCACCTTGAAAGAAAATGTCAATGTGAGAGACTGTCTTAGCAGCATTTTTCTGCCTCATTAATACTGTACATCAGTAAACACCGTTACGGCTGTCAGACAAAGAGACACAGTCCACCTGCATGCAGGAAGTTTGATCAAAACCATATGGTGTTGCAATCAGTGAAGGAGACGGTGGCCTGGATTCTGCATATCACTGGCAAAATTGAACATGGCTGGTTCTAAGGGTATAATACATCTGCGCAATGGGAAAGGGCATGATGGGGAATGACATGCTGCTCTGAAAGCTACCACTGACTGATTGGGTGTTTGCTGGCTCCCCGTATACCCAAGAGCAGCTGTCACTGAGTAATAGAACAAAAGCTCCCAGGTTCAGTTTTTGCCATCTCTCATCTAAAATACTACCAATCAATGCAGAGAATACTCAGCTACAGGATCACCTTTTCCCGTATGAGCCACCCCAAACACTTAGGCCCTCCGAGGAACGAAGGTAATAAATAAATAATTTATTATTATTTCTATTATTATCATTACTATTTTTTATCAGGCATCCTAAGAAAGGACTGTTTGAATGTCGAAGAGTCAATGCTTGCCATCTCTTTAAGGAGTCACCTAGCAGGGATAGACTTTTGTCTGAGCCATTGGCTGCCAAAAGGGGCAAAAACTAGGGTTGGATGGTCAGAACATCTGAACCAAAGAATGAAAGTTTCCTATAACTCAGTGGTTCTCAACCTGGGGTCCCCAGATGTTTTTGGCCTTCAACTCCCAGAAATCCTAACAGCTGGTAAACTGGCTGGGATTTCTGGGCGTTGTAGGCCAAAAACATCTGGGGACCCCAGGTTGAGAACCACTGCTAACTGAATAGGCTAGGCAACCTTGTGTTGGGAATGCTCTGATGCTGTTTTCCTGCATGGCAGAATGGGACTGGACTGAATGGCCCTTGTTGTCTCTTCTAATCCTAGGATTTTATGAAATAGGAATTACCTACTTATCATAAATATATGATTTATTCATATATTTCAGTCTCAAATAAACTTCTATTGTTAAAGGAAGCAGAGGAAAACAGCAGAATGGATTGCTTCTGCCCTTCCATTCACAAACACAGAAATGCCTCCATAGAAGACTGTGCAGAAGTCATTGATACTATGTATGTGTTTAACTGTTAGAGTATATATTTGTGGTTGTAACAGTAGCTAAAACTAGAGTTATCTGGTTTGAATCCACAGTGAGCATTGCCAAGGAGACCAGGCAGGCTAGCTCAGGGGAGTGAGAAGTGGGCGGAGCCAAGCAGGAAAATGTTATGTGCATCTTTGGAAAAGGGGCAGTGTGTGTGGGGGACTGAGTGTGGAGGCTTGAAAAGCCTGGGAGAGAGGTGTGTGCGAGCAGCTGGAGGTTTTTCAGTCTAGAAGGGCTGAAAAGAAAAACCTGGCCAGTTTCTTTAGTCAGGGAAGACTAAAGGAAGCTTGTTAGGATCCCTAGTCAAGGAAGGACTAGAGATCAGAGATTTGATCAAGGAAAGATCAAATTGGAAGGCTATTCATAGTAGGAAACGTTGTTCACTAAAGAGCTTCGCCTCATTAAAAGTTAGCCACGAGTTGTGTTATTTGGAAGAGTGGACTGTATTACAAACCAAGTGATATTGAAAGTTCTATAAGTTATTTAACAGCCTGCAACCATACGCTTTGTACACAATAAACTTGTTATCTTTTGTTGAAGACCGTCTCATCTCAATTAATCTGTGTCTGTAAAGCCAGATCTCATCGGTGGCACCTCAAATACCTCATGTTGGTGGCAGTTACCTTAATTTACAAGTAATAATTGGCCTCCTCTATAATATATTCTTATACACAATTGAGGCCTGAGAGTAATTCCCTCCATAATCATCCACACCTACAATTGGTTCATGCATAACTGTACAATTGGTGACAGCGGTGGGGATCTTCAAAGATAAAATCCCTATACCCTGCCCATCGTTGTGTTCGCGTCTGGACAAAGACAATCACTTGAAGTAACATAGAGGGAAGACAAAACCATCAGGCTCAGGTATGGACAAAGTGCATGAAGCCCAATGGTCCTCCTTTTGCTGCCTCCCCACCCCTCTGGAGGTACTAGGCCTCTGATATAATTGTTTTAGTTAAATTTTAGCAAGGAATTGCCCCAAACATTTGTTTACCACTAACTGCAAACCCTGGGGAAATGGTAACAGTTGGCCCTTATTATTATATTAATTCCTATCTTTTTCCAAGTTCAAGACTCAAATTAAAAATTACATATGGTTAAATATTCACAAAATTCAAATGTTAAAATAAGAATATACAATAAAAATAACACCAGATCATATACAGAGATTTATTGGGGTGAATCTAGGGGCAGGAGATTGACGCAAAGTCACTTCCAGCTGTTCTGATACAGCTTTCAGAGTGAATGGCCACCATTGCCTTTGAAGTTGCTCACTCTGACCTACCCAAAGAGTCTTTGCCACACAGATCATATAATATTAATTCCAATCTCTTTTATAAGTATAGCCATCCAAGTTGAACTGATATACTGGCACCTTACGTTTCACGAAAGAAAAAAAAAGTAAAAGAAAGAAATGCTGGTTGCCAAGTCTGTTCAAGGACCTTGTAGTGTATCACAACATGACACCAAAACATCTATAGTGAGAATATAGCTCTGAATGCCTCTGGAAATACATATAAAACTACTGACAACTTTTCCAAGTAACACTGGAAAATGAAAACTACAAGGCCAACATGTGTGCACTAAATTGTTAAAAATTAGCTTTAGAGGCTACAGAATTATTTATGGTAAACTATAAATAAATACTGCAAGAAAGGCAGCTTATGAGGTAACCTTTGCAGGGTTTTTTTCAGTCTACAGAGAAAGCTTAATATAAGGACAACTGTTAAGAAGAGCCTCCCTTAATGCCGCAACCATCCACTGTTTTGTATTAGATAGAAATGAAGTTATGTTTTCTTTAATGTGTCCTTACCTACCTTATAAGCAATTGCTATTTCTTTTACTTCATATATAATCAAATAGCCTTGCATATGGTATTTATCAGGGGCTCTGTACTTTCAAGATAGATGCAATTGATCTTGTTATATACAAATAGCAGTAGCATGACAGCATGCCACACAACAAAATGCACGTTGACAAAGTATTTGCTCCTTTAAACACCTAAAAAAAACTCATGTAAGAACATGATTAAAAATCAGTTTCCTCCAATGAGGGTTCAAAGTCATCCATGTTTTGTTCATTTGCTTTGGGAAACATCAATATAATATTGGTTCAGTTTCAGCAGTGGCATCAGCCCCTGACAGAGGTGAACTGCCAATAAGCTACACATTTATAATTGCAAACATAGATTAGACTACTGATTGGAACCTCTACTTGGCTCAAGAGCATACCTTAAAATGGTTGAAGCAATGCAGTGGTTCACAGCCCTGTCACCTCCTGCTTTGACTTCTGAAATCGTTTCTTTTTCTGGACGCTAACCAACATTTAATTCTTTTCACCTCTACCCAGCATTCTGTTACAACGACCCATCTTTATTTTGATCATGTAATAACTTTACATTTTGTTCTGCAGCCAACAGACTGGTTTTGTATGTTTGGGAAGAGGATGAGAAAAATAGTCTGAAAACCAAGACTGAGAAGCAATACTGAAGATACTCATGAACAGCTAGAAACAGATATAAGGGGGAATTGATGGCCCTCATATACCGTAAGTCAGATGGCTAAGAGAAAAAATGAATTAAATTGTAGTACACATAGGGCCGCAATAGCGCAGCAGGTTAAACTAAGCTGCAGGATTTGCTAACCAGAAGGTCAGCGGTTCGAATCCACGAGTTGGGGTGAGCTCCCACTGTTAGCCCCAGCTTCTGCTAACCTAGCAGATCGAAAACATACAAATGTGAGTAGATCAATAGGCACCGCTTCTGTGGGAAGGTAACAGCGCTCCATGCAGTCATGCCAGCCACATGAACTAGGAGGTGTCTACAGACAACGCTCGTAGGCTTAGAAATTGAGATGAGCACCACCACCCCAGAGTCAGACACAACTAGACTTAATGTTGAGGGGAAACTTTTACTTTTACCTTACACACAGAAGGCTCTGGATTCCATTTCTCTCACATCTAATTCATTCTGGGAAATATTTTACTTTGAAACAGTAGACACAGCTGGTGACAGTGTAGACAGTGCTAATCTAGTTGGCCAATGATCCTAAACAGCCTCCTGTGCTGTCTTCCTATCTTTAAAATCTTTATTTACTTTTAAATACATTTCAAATCTTTCCCTACTATTTTTAACATCAAAAATGCCAATTTTTGAGAATTGGAATTGGATTTCTGACTACTCAGGGGATTTTGTTTTTGAGTGTCCCAAGGTATAAAAGAACCTTCCAGTACTGTCTGTTCGTTCCTTATTCTGTAGTCTTTTTTGTCCCTTGTGAAATCGGAATGGTGACCAGACCTTTTTTGTTCCAGGATTTTTTGTTTTGTTTTGTGCTAATGCTACCCTGGAAAGTACTGTGGCTGATGGAGTGATATAAATAACTGAAAACAAAACCAACATTGTAGATCACAGCCAAATTGCAGCAAGAAACAACAGCTTTTGCAAAATTGTAGTATAGTAGGGATGGATGAAAGTTTATTCCTGTCCCTAGATAGCACAAACAAATCTAAACAACCAGTGAACCAAAATGGTCCAACGCTGCTGCTAGCTTCTGACAAATGCACATTGCTTTCCAATGCAGTAAAGCAAAGATTACTGATTCAAAATCATAAATCATCTGCTATAGTTACTCCCTTTGCTATAAACTGCTCTTGCTTCTCAATCCGGAGTGCTCTGAATCATGAATCTGATTGAAATGCATGAAATAAAGAACCTCAAGCTTGCTGAGACTTCGAAAAGTCCCATTTTATTAGATGTATTTGAAGCCTAGTACAGAGTCAAAGTATTTGGATGCAACCCTATCCCTACATGAAAGGTAATAAATCCCATCTAACTCTTCTGAACTTACTTCTAAGTGGACACAAACAGGATTGTGCTTCAGTCAGGTTACTTTTTTTGTACCAAAAATATGTATTATTTTATTTGTTAACATGCTTCTTTGATGGGAATTAGTCTAATTTTTTTTACAGTGAATGCAATCTAATACAACATACTTTTGGTTTGGCATATACTCCTTACCTTCAAGAATTTTCAGTAATTTCTTCTCAGACATGAGTTCCAGCTGTTCAAGACAAAGCTTTTTGATTTCTTCTATAGAACAGTTCTAGGGGAAATAACGACTCTTTTTTTTTAAAAAGGCAACATAGTACATGCACATTTAGAAAGCCAAATACTAAACATTAAATAAATAATAATAAACGATCTGGACTTCATTTCTTTCTGATACATCCTGAATAACAACATTTATCAAATTCCCCAATCCAGCACATGGATATGGCTTATTCCAGCTCCTATTCTTTTACTTGTCACAGATCTTCCTTTTTCTTGAATCAGTCCCAGTCTTAGATAGTCTCCAACACATTCATATTTATTCTGAGAAGGAAAACTTTGCTAGTCAAGCAACCCTAAGCCACAATTCTTTCATTATCATCTTTGTTTTCTCATAAAATGATCACAAATGCACTTTGCTCATGTCTAAACAGTACTGACAGACACTGAGACCAGCCAATAATGGTTATGGGAATTTATGCCTTTAGTAGGCTATGAATCTTAAGTTCAGATGGAGGAAGAGAGATACAGTTTGCTATTCAGCTTCAGGTTGCAAAATTTCTGGAGACCACCTTGCTCTTTTGTAAGCACTGTTAGTCAGCATTACCTTTCTGCCACAAACCCCATGCTTAATCATGATGAAGGCTATTGATTAGATTTTAACTTAAGGCTGAAACTCCCTCCAAACCCTCTAAGAAACCAATTTATTTTATTTTTTATTAGAAAAGATAGTTCACAATTATTTCACAAGATAGTCTATAATGGTCTGTTCTAATCCCTCTAAGTCAGTGCTTCTCAACCTGTGGATGTTTTGGCCTACAACTCCCAGAAATCCCAACCCGTTTACCAGCTGTTAGGATTTCTGGGAGCTGAAGGCCAAAACATCTGGGGAACTACAGGTTGAGAACCACTGCTCTAAGCCATTCCAACTTCATGCCTCAACCTCTTAATGGAGTATCTAGATTATCTATCAAACCACTCCTGTGGCAAGGGTACAAACAATTTAAATGCTTCTCAGTAGATTGAGATGTTATAATTAATGTTCCCCTCTACATATTATTATTCTTATTTTTATCAACTTCATTTTTACCCCAACTTTCTCCCACGGAGACTCAAGAAGGCTAACAACCACACAACTAAGACCAATTAAAAAATACACAAGCAATTACATTTTAAAAAAATATTAGTGTGTAGCTAAAAGGAAAAATACAATTAAACTACAAAAATACAATTAAAATTACATTTACATCTCACCATCCCCCCCGAAATCTCACTCACAACATACACAAGTTTTGGCCAAAATATATGTGAGGAATCATGCTAAACAAAATGTTTGTGGATTAATATATTTTGCTATTTTGCTTTTTAATGGAAAGAGTAGAAAGATCAGCACAGGCAGTCCCCAAGTTCTGAACTAGATAGGTTCTGTAGGTTTGTCCTTAAGTTGAAGTTGTATGTAAGTCTGAACAGGTATATTCTTTAAGTGTAACTTCACCCCACCCTCCACCCTCCATAGCGCTTTGAATAGCATAGGGAAGGGTTAACATCCCTGTTATGTTTGCTTTGTTGTTTGTGCCCTTGTTCAGATGATTTCACTTCACTTTCTGTCCATGTGATAATTGGATTTTGACTTGTGGAAACAAGGATTGGTGAGAAAGTTTTGGTTGAGACACCTTTTACCCATGATAACTCTTTCAGGAATGAATTTCCCTTCCTAAGGGTAGATTTCTCTCACATCCTGCTGTATTACCTCCATTCTTATTTATAAATCAGATGTAAGTCATATATTAATAACTCAGTGATTGCCTGTATAGCTAACCAAAAGGTGTTGCTATATGTTGCTATGGAACTGGTTCTAGAGCCTTAGGGAACAAAGCAAAAGCACTTACTTTCTTCCCTTTCCTACAACTACAAAATCTTCCTCCTCAGGCATCTCATAATTGCAATACTGGTGATTTTTTTTATAAAGAGTAGAGTCTGCAACAGAGAATCAGCTTAAAGAACGCCGACCACCAGTGATGTTGTTTTCCATTTATTTTGTAAATTCTGCCTGCCCTCAAGTTGTGGTTACTTTACTTCCTAGCAAGCAAGCCATGCATCTCCAGGGAGTGGTGTTCTCTTTAATTATAAATGACTTATTTATAAACTGCCAAGTTGCCACATTCATATCTGATGCCGTTATGTCCAATTAAAGAAGAATTTCAATATCCCCGTGGAAATGCTATAATTATATACTACATTATTCCATATGCCACAGTAATTAACGTTATTTACATTTCCAGCCTGCTCTATTCCGAGGGCTGTACAAGAGTATTTATTAAAACACACACAGAGACAAATATATAAACACAGAATGCTTTTGTAGCCATCTGATCTTAATGCCTACTGAGCTACTATTGAACCAGCTTACAAATGCACAGGGCGCACCCTGAAAAAGACTGCCAGCTTTAATTGGTAGGTTAATCAAGTACAGCTTAGTTGATTAATCAGTGAAAGAGTCAATTTTAATTGGGAAAAACATATTTTAATTGGTGGGTTATATGGTAAGGTCATAGTTGTCTGAGTTTTTTTTATCATTATAAGAAGTATGCTTTTCTTTTGCAACTATGTGTAGTAGCATTTGTTTATTATTTACAATATTTTCTAAATTACTTATAGCTGAAGGATAATTTTGAATAGAGTTCAAGCCACAATTCAGTGGTGGGAAAACTGTTGAGGTGGGCCACATTCAACCTACAGTTAAAGGCTTTCTGGAATCTCTACAAAAAAAAAACCAAAAACCAGACTTCCTATTAAAAACATTTCCAGATTGCTTTTGCTCCCAAATAGCAAAAGATACCAAACACCTTCAAATAGATTATAAACGCTATCGTTTTCCTGGCTCTGACGACCCCTTAACAAACGCAATCAACTCAAATGGCTGAAAAGTGACCCAAATAGTAAATGTTGTGACAACTCTTCTGGTTTGTCCAATGAGGTCAAAGTGGGAACATCAATGAAGTGTGCTACCCCTGACATAACCTAGAGAGGTTTAGAATGTGTTTAATAAGCACCACCTTCAAACCAAGGAACTGATAAGTGGGCGGACTTTCTCAGAGCACTTTCTGCTTGAAGTAGCACATCTTGAGATCAATGGGACACAAAAAGAATGCATGGGCTCTGGGGGTGAGAAGTGGGGTGAGAGTGCTTTGGGGTCTTAGGAGCATCTAATTTATATGTTACTTATATCAATTTAGAAATTTCCGCACAACCCATAATTTAGGAACTCCCGACTAACCAAACTTTAACTTATTTTACCCTACTTTCAGCCAGCACATTTGGATATCTCAGAAAGCCTTGGCCTTTTCAGCATAACATCCAAACTGGAAACTCCAGATTGTTATTCTCCTAACATTTAGATGTTAAAAGAAGAATAATCTGGTATTCCATGTTCCGACATTGTTTTGACAAACAAACAGAGAACTGTGCATGTAAAGGCATTAGAATGGTCCTGAATGCAAAACAAAACTTGGTGAGAGACTGAATGTGCCAAAGAAGTGGCCTTTGCCTCAGAAGTAGCAATTTTTAATGGAAGAGAAGAAAGGAACGAGGAACAGAAAAAAAGGAGAGAAGGAAATTCCTCACAGCTTCCATAAGATGGGAAGATCTGCTGTTTACCATGTCCCGTCCAATAATGTCTAATTTTAGATATTTTAATTAAGATTTTAAGGAATTAATATGTTTGTCATTATGTGGAGTGTGTTATGTCTTGTTTATTTAAGTTGTTTTAGAATATACTGAGTTGTTTTTTTTTTAATTTGTTTATATATTACTGCTGGCATTGAATGTTGTAAGCCACCCTGAGTCCCCTCGGGGAGATAGGGCAGGCTATAAATAAAGTTTCATCATCACTAAATAAAGCTTTACCTCTGTCAGGACCACCTTCCATCTGGAAATGGATGCCCTCACTGCAAAAGACCATGTAGATCCTGAATAGGGCTATACAGTCATTTGCAGACCCACTGCCAAGATCCTACACTTGGAAATCAATCATACTCGGCCACGAGCGATAGCCTATGATATGGTGACAAATACAATTATGAGAGAATAGTGTACATAACATGTTTATTACATAGTCAGTTTCATAACTATGTTAATTCAAAATTGTCAGGTGCATAAGTTACCTGAAGACAGAAAATAGCAAAGCCTCAGAGGGTTGTCCCCTCCTTCAACTGCCATCTGACAACAGATGTTCCATCAGGATGCAGCAGAATGACAGAGAGAAAGCAAGTCCAGCTCATCAGCTTTGCTGGGAGACCAGCTTCATTTTGGTTCCTCTACTCCTTGAACAGATTACATCCCAAACTCTCGCTATCAGTACTGCTATGTAACTTTACCCAGTGCCAGGACTCTTCCTGAGTTCCTCTCCTTATTTTTGTATTGGGTCCTTTCTGTAAGGAGCCTTGTTTGTGGAGAAATGCCTTCAACTTTCGGCTTAAATGAATGGTATATCTTTAGCATATTTTTTTTAACTTTTGTATTTGTTTTGTTTAAAATTATTTTTATTGTATTTGTATTTGCTTTGTTTAAAATTATGATAAAATTGTATGGTTGTTAACTGTCTTGAGTCCCCATGAAGGCAAGGCGGGATATAAATAAAGATGATGATTATGATGATAATAATAATAGAGAAACAACAAGAAGGGTCAAAGAGTGTATTTTCTTCACACCAATGTTCTCCAAAATTAATTCCCAGAATTCCTAACTACTGGCCATATTTGGTGCTGAAGCCCAAAACTTTTGGAGGATTACAGTCTGAAAAAAACAACATTGCTTTAAACTACAATTAAAGAAGAATGCAAACAGCCCTGATATAAGCTGAACTGCTTCGTCATTTTTAAAATCCGAAAACAAAGATATATTTCAGTACCTTTAAAATGTCTGGCAACATTTTTTGCAATTTCTTTTCTCCTATGATATAAAAACATTGCTGAAGCATTTCCTTCTTGTCTGTGATGTAGAAACTAACTGGTTTTAGTTGCACACTGAGATCTAGTCCACCTTCTTCTATGTCACTGGGTTCTTCCCTCATATCCTCCTTCTCTGGAACTTGTGCAGTACATTTTGTTTCCTAAAATGAGAGAGAAAATTATTTCAGTCATGTGCCTATTAAGAATGTCTTTGACTGTACAGCAATCTCAGCAGCTAAGGTTTGTCTACAGATCTGACAGCAGGATCATATGTGTGAAAATCCCATCGAGTTAAATTGTTAAGGCAATTTATATCCCACCTTTCTTCCAAATTTGAGGCAGCATACATGCTCTCCTCTCCCACATATCATCCTCACAACAACTCTGTGAGATATTTTTGTTTGTTTAAAGTTTTTCTGTATGGCCTCTCAACCGGTAAGGGCTCCTGAGGTGATAAACAAACAATAATAATAATAATAATAATAATAATAATAATAATAATAATAATATATAAAATGCTTTTCTAAAACACATTCAAAGACTCCTAAAAGCACATCAAAAGCAATTCCAGAACCCAGTTTTTATTCAATTATAGCAGCAGTAAGGCAGCAGAATAATTTTAGTATTAAAGTGATGGAAATATATGAGGCAAAGAAAAAGTACAGAGGATTAATTGTCAAAAAGATAGTTCAAAGGCAACAATTCTATGGTACCTTAAAGACTAAGCAGTGCTATTTGTTCTGAAAAGTGACACCAGTTTTGTGTAAAATAAAACCTGTTAATTGTTAAGATTCTGCAAAACAGCATCACTGTAAAAAGATACAATAATGAAAAAACTCAGAACATGGGCCAGTTTTGCTTTAAAGTTAGAGGAGGAGGGGCATATTTTTGAAACAAATCAAATAGAGAAGTCATATGATTTGGCAATGGTTTCAGTATACCCACTGCCAAATCATGATTGCCAAAGGATGATCAATTATGAAGCAAAAGCTACATGCTGTACCAAGAGAGAGAATGGAGAAAGGAAGGCTCACAAAGGAAGATATCAAATCTAAACTAGCTGAACTGCAGACGACAATAAAGAAAACAAGTGAAAAATAGTATAGAGGAGCATTAGAGATTTGTAATTGGAGCTTCCCTCCAAGGTTCTGGGTTAGAGAGACAGAGCTGTGTCATCACACATGCAAGCAGTAGAGAAAGTGACGGGATTTGATGAGGTCCCATGGGGACTGTCTGTGCTGGCGTTCAAACACATAATTAGGAGACACTTGATCATTAGCATATGGCCTTTTCCAAGCAGCAAGACCTTTAGCATATGTTTTTCCAAACCGGTCACATATTGCAATCTACCACTTTGAAAGCATTCCCCATGCTTTGCCATGTTGAATGGATCAAAAGAACAAAGAATCAGAAGGTGTCTACCTTTCTGTATCAAGAAAATAATCCTATGTGTGTTTGTTTACTCAATACTCCACTGTGTCCAGTGGGACTTTTTTCAGGGTAAGAGTGCACAAATACCACAAAAACAGAGAAGACTGAAGGCTCTTTCAGCAACCAGTTCCAAAGGAGTAAAGCCCACTTAGGATGGATCTACACTGCCATATTACCTAGTATCTGATCCAAGATTATATAAGTCAACACTGCCATATAATCCAATTCAAAGCAGATAATCTGGGATCAGAAATTGGATTATATGGTCGTGTACATGGGGCCTTACTGATGAGTCCTTTCCCTCTGCTTCAGAACATGCAATGTTAAATCTGAAGAGGACCTTCTTAGTAGCTACCTCCAGGCAATGAAACTCCATTTCTGGGAAGGTTAGGCTCTAGCCCAGTGGTTCTCAACCTGTGGGTCCCCACGTGTTTTGGCCTACAACTCCCAGGAATCCCAGCCAGTTTACCAGCTGTGAGGATTTCTGGGAGTTGAAGTCCAAAACCATTTGGGGACCCCAGGTTGAGAACCACTGCCTAGCCATTTAATACAGTTCAAATCTTGCTTCAAACTGTGGCAGCCAGATGACAAACTCTCACAAAAGCATGCAAAAGAAAGCCTTAATGTGCATCAGTCCTCTGTGGTTTGTTTCATCACTATTTAGGCCTCTAACAGGTACCATGATTCCCTTTGTGAACACCTGCGCAGTGAAACCAATACAATGAAGGTTTAAAACTGCTTTAAATGGTCAGTGTAGATGGGGCCTTAGATTGGCACCTTCCACACTCTTATTCTACCAAAAAAATTAAGATCCTTGTGTTTCAACTAGCTTTTAAGGATTCATTGTACAAGCTGCGCCACCTATAAATATTGTGTTTAATTTCCTATTTGTTATTATTTTTAACGGTTTAAGTTATTAACTAGGGTTTTTGGTAGTTTAATTACTTTAAATATTTTTATTCCGCTATAATCCATCTTGAATGTTGAAGTAGGAAAAGGCCATGGGCTCCCTCTGTCAGCTCCAGCTCCTCATATGGGAACATGAGAGAAGCCTCTCACAAGGATGGTAAAACATTAAAATATCTGGGCATCCCCTGGGCAAAGTCCTTGCGGACAGCCAATTATCTCACACCAGAAGCAACTTGCAGCTTCTCAAATTGCTCCTGACATGGAAAAAAAACACACACAACAACAACAACAACAACAACAACAACAACAACAGGGAAAACGAGCATGGGTTTATGCCAAACAGCCACAATTTGCCTGATACTTGTGATACTACTAAAATGGATCAGGAGGAAGAGGCAGAGGACACAACCCTGCCAAGTTTAGATCCTGTTATGTTCAATAAAGAAAAGGTAAGCATGATCTGCACATCAGGGGCGGCAATGCCTGCTATTTTATAGAGCAGGGGTCCTCAAACTAAGGCCCAGGGGCCAGATACGGCCCTCCAAGGTCATTTACTCTGCCCTCGCTCAGGGCCAACCTAAGTCTGAAATGACTTGAAAGCACACAACAACAATCCTATCTCATCTGCCAAAAGCAGGCCGACACTTCCCATCAAAATACTAATAAGTTTATATTTGTTAAAATTGTTCTTCACTTTAATTACTGTATTGTTTTTAAGTGTTTTTTGCACTACAAATAAGATATGTACAGTGTGCATAGGAATTCATGCATGCTTTTTTCAAATTATAATCCGGCCCTCCAACAATTTGAGGGACTGTCACCTGGCCCTCTGTTTAAAAAGTTCGAGGACCCCTGTTATAGAGTCTATCAACAGGTGTAGGTTTGAGACATCCTGTGATTATTCTGCATGTTTAGTTTAGTGCTACGTTCACCCACATCGCATGGGCTAACTTTTGCCAAAAAGGGCAGGCATATCCAGCAACTGAGTAAGACAAGGTCAGGGCTGATATTCTTATTAATTTTGGATCTGCACCCCATGTGCTACCAGTAAGTTTCCACTGGATGTTATTGCATGCAGCTACTTTGTGCATGGTTTTTGTTGCGTTTCCTAAATGTTAGTGTTTGATCTAAGGCAGGGGTCCTCAGACTTTTTAAACTGTCACTCAAACGGTTGGAGGGCCGGATTATAATTTGGAAAAAACCCGCATGAATTTCTTTATTTTGGACATTTGTATCCTGTCCTATCTCAACCTCCACAGAGGGACTCAGGGCGGCTAATTCCTGTGCACACTGCTCATATCTTATTTGTAGTGCAAAGAACACTTTAAAATAGAATAATTAAAATTAAGAACAACTTTAACAAATATAAACTTATTAGTATTTCAATGGGAAGTGTGGGCCTGCTTTTGGCTGATGAGATAGGATTGTTGTTGTTGTGCTTTCAAGTAATTTCAGACTTAGGTTAACCCTGAGCGAGGGCCGGGTAAATGATCTTGGGAGGGCTGTATCCAGCCCCCGGGCCTTAGTTTGAGGAACCCTGATCTAAGGTGACGGCAAGATATTTAAGATGGGAACAAATGAATTAATGTGTAAATGCGGAGTAAAAATGAAATCCCCTTTGTTTGTTAGCCAATGTAGCTATAGGTTGTTTGTACATCCAAGGTAGTTATATAGAATTTGTATGCCTATACATCTAATGTCGTGCTTTGTGTAAAAGTTGCCCTAATATACCTTTTCACACTGAAATTGCAATAAAAAGAACCTTTGTTTAAAAAGTGTTCATCAATTCTTCAGTGTAGATCAGGCTTGGGCAAACTTGGGCCCTCCAGGTGTTTTGGACTTCAACTCCCACAATTCCTAACAGCCTACCGGCTGTTAGGAATTGTGAGAGTTGAAGTCCAAAACACCTGGAGGGCCCAAGTTTGCCGAGGCCTGGTGTAGATACATCCAACGCGTGGAGTACCATGAGCCCATCAGAGCGGGGGAAAAAAAACAAACAAGGAGTTCAACCCCGCGCATGCGTAGTAAAACAAAACAAAAAAGCTGGGAGCATTCCGCACATGCGCATTTCCACCTCTCCTGCTTCTCCCATTCTGAGGTGTCTGAGGCGCTTTACCTCGCTGGCGCCGTGTAGCGATTCGGTGCTGCGCCGTTTCCGCTCGCTGCCGCCTCCTCCTCCTCCGCCTCCTTCTTCCGAGCCGCCCAAACGGGAGCGGTGCCGCTTCTTCTCCTTCGGGAACTTGCGGCCCGTCATGACGCCCCTCTCTTCCCGACGACGAGTCCTGTTTCTTTAAGAAGCACCCGCCATCTCCGCCACAGGAATGATGCCATCAAAACGCGACGCCCTAATGATGGCGTCACCAGCAAACATAGAGCTAGGAATGTTAGAGCCTCATTACATATATTGGGAGGGAATGCAAGCTTCCTGGTATCCTTGATATCCTTGGAAGCTGCTTTCTCCCTCCTGACTGTAGTGTCCATGCCCTTTCTAACTTTGGTCCTGTAGCTTAAACACGTATTGAAAATATGAAGAAGAAAGCCCTAGTATCTGCCACAATGCAATTCATTCTTGTAGTTTGCCATACAATTGACCTAAGCAATAGCTGTGTGGTTTATTGTTATTATTTCAATATCATAATATTTTTGAGGTATGCTTTTCTCTCTTGTAGAGCCACCTTAGAAGCAATACAATTTGAAACCTACAAAATATAAATACGATATATAAATGAAACATGTAATTAGTACAAGGCCATTATATGCTAATCAAGGTGGTCAGTTGAAACATTCACACCTAGCTCCAGCAGACAAGAGTCCTTTGTCCCACCCTGGTCATTCCACAGATATATAAACCCTTTTTCCTAGTTTCCAACAGACCTCACTACTTCTGAGGATGCTTGCCATAGATGCAGGCGAAGCATCAGGAGAGAATGCCTCGACCATGGCCATATAGCCCGAAAAAACCAACAACCCAGTGATTCCGGCCATGAAAGCCTTCGACAATACACAATACAATGTTTGTTACTATTATTATTGCAACATCATCATTGTGTTTTTCTAATATTTTACAGTCTTTATGATGTTTTTCTAATGTTTTATACTGTTTTTACTTAAGATGTATATGCTTTTGTTTCAGCCACCCTGAGTCCCTCTGCAGAGGTCGAGATAGGATGAGATATGCATGTCCGAAATAAATAAAATGTTTTTGAGCCATGCTTTTCTTTCTTGGAGAACCACCTTAGAAGCAAGATAGTTTGAAACCTACAAAATATAAACACAATATATAAATGAAACATGCAATTAATAAAATGTTTATTATTATTATTATTATTATTATTATTATTATTATTATTATTATTATTAGAAACGCAACAAGATGAGTCCACAGCAAACAAGATCACTATGCTGGTTGTTGTATTGGATCACACGTCGGACACGTGATGTATCTGCAAATAATGCATGCAGATCCCAGTAAGGTAGCCTTTTGCAGCTGGCAAATGGTAATTTGTCAGCGCCAATTGTGTTTAAGTGCAGGCCAAGGTCTTTAGGCACTGCACCCAGTGTGCTCATGACCACTGGGACCACCTTTACTGGCTTGTACCAGAGTCTTTGCAGTTCAGTCTTTAAATCCTCATATCATGTCAGCTTTTCCAGTTGTTTCTCTTCAATCATGCTGTCGCGTGGGATTGCAACATCAATGATCCATACCTTGTTGTTGTTGTTATTATTATTGCAACATCATCATTATTATGTTTTTGAGCCATGTTTTTCTCTCATGGAGAGCCACCTTAAAAACAATACAGTTCGAAACTTAAAAAATATAAACATGATATATAAATGAAACATGCAATTTGTAAAACGTAGTTGTTTATTATTATTATTATTGTTGTTATTATTATTGCAACATCATCATCATCATGTTTTTGAGCCATGCTTTTCTCTCTTGGAGAGCCACCTTAAAAACAATACAGACTGAAACCTACAAAATATAAACATGATATATAAATGAAACATGCAATTAGTGAAACAAGTTTGTTAAAATCACATAAAAGAAAAAAAGTGTTAAAATAGTTACACAAGTCTGCAATATTTTTATTTTATTCCTACTATCCTGCTTTTTCCCCAGCTCCTGACTCCAAACCAGTATAATTGAAAGGGGTTGTATTGTCAAAGTCTTTCATGGCTAGAATCACTGGGTTGCTGTGAGTTTTCCGGGCTGTGCCTCCTTTATTTTATCAGTTGTATACTTATTTATTTATGCAATGCTTTTGACACTAAAAATTTTTTAAAAATCAATCCTAATAAAAGCAACTGTGGATCACTAAGAAGATAACCTGTAAAAAGTATTCTCGCATTTGGCTGTCATGTTTTTTTACCAGGGATAAAGGACAGGTGGTGGCATGGTTGTGAACAGAGAGGTGTTTAATCACATGATTTGGGAATGCTATCGAGCGCAAGAATAGGGGAGAATGATTGAAGGAGAAATCAACAGAATGTTAAATTTACAAATCGTAATAGTTAATAGAAATGTACTACATGCAAGGATAATAGGAGTGAAGAATATACAAAAAGAACAATAGATTGACGAATGAAGAGCATGTGCACAAATTGTTTTAGTGAGAGGTTGGAAAGATAAAACAAAATGGAGACTTGAGTATATTGGTATGAGTATATAGTTAATATGTTAAATGTGGAAATAACAAATTGCAAATGGAACAATATAGATAAAATTGAAAAGGTTACAATAACTAAAAGGATGTGGGAACCAGTTAGGAATTATTTAGAGAATGTGCTAAGATGTGGAGTGGAAAAATTAAGACTGAGATTGATATTTCAAATGTAACTTGTGTAGTTTGATGTATAAATTCCATGTACAAGGAGGGGAGGGTAGGAGTGGGATAAAACAATAATATATATATATAAATAAAAAAGAATAAAAAAGCATTCAGCTGTGCCAACTGTTGTGTTTCGAATGAATACTGTGAAACAGAAATCGAACTCCCCCCCCCCCCAAAAAAAAAACATTGTGCAGAAATTACTGAGTCATGCAAAGAACACTCAGGCTTCTGCCCTCCTCGTTTTATAATTGGACGGCCCAAATAGTGGTACTGGGCAGTGCATGATTGACAGCTGCTTTTTGCCTGAAATGCCTACATGTCCATATTTAGAGAGCCATACCCTTTTGACCAGACAAGTGAAGAGAAGACTGGTGTCCATTTCTCATTGGCCAGAAGGGTCAAAATCAAGTATTTTATTTTGGTCAATGACCAGAATTAAAACAAACAGTAAAAGTTAAATAAAACATACATTTAAGCATTAAAATACAGCTTTTAAAACCAGAGTTAAGAGACGATATTAAGTAAAAACAGTATTAAATATATGTATGTTTAAATAACACAATAAAAGCTAAGATAAAACACTAAAACTTTTCAAGACTTTGGCAATATGTTGTGCCAGCAAGCTATTGCTTCTACACAGAAGCTAGCAACTTTGGCAGTAATTTCAGAAGACTGGTCAGCCAAAAGATAATAAATATAAAATCTTTCTGGTCTCCCTGGCAAACCTTGTGAAATCGCATTAACAAAACATTGTCGAAGGTTTATGTAGTACAATATGCCCCGCTCTGCCTCACGGGGACATAGGTGTTCACAGTATGGTACACTTTTATATCTTCCCTCCAGCACTGCAGAGGGTAATCCATTGAATTTAGCCAACAAGAAGACTTTCCTCTATTTTGGCATAATTAGATTGCTTAAGTACTCTGCAGGAAGAAGGGCCCTTCCATTGTCTTTGAAGACTGCAAGACCAGAAGCTGCATTTAGGTAGTTTTGCAACTCAGTATCCCAGATACGCTGTTGTATATTTTCTTTGGCTTTTGTGTAGCCCATAGTTAAGATGGCATTTTGTGAAAATCCAAGATTTGAGGTTTTCTGATCAACTAAATTTTTCCATTTTGATTGGAATGGATTGCCAATTTCATGCCTAGAGTCACCAGACCTTTAATCATGAAAATCAATTTTAACCAAATTTTAATTTATACAGCCAGATTCAAGACTTAACAGAGATCTGACCAGTCTCTAACCATAAAAATACATGAGATACACAGCTTGAGAAGCTAAGAATGCTTCTTAATTTTTTTTTTGTCTGGACAGCTTCTAAGGCCTTGATGCTGTTAAATGCACACAATTGTGCTCTATATAACTTCCAAGGTAAAATCTTATCATTAAAAACTTCCTGAAGGTACATGCTGGCCTCCTTTACCATTAAAAATGACATAAGTCGTAACTCTGCTGTGTATTTGATATGGTATGGGACACTTGAGCTTTCCAGGTACCATGGATTGGAAAATGACTCCCACATATTTAAAGTGTTGGACTTGTTCTATTAGGTGCCCATTGATTTCCAGCAGTGTTTGCATCTTTTTCAGGCAAAGACAAGCATTTTAGATTTATCATAATTAATTGCCAGAGATTCGGTATTGCAAGACACATCCAGTATTTTTAGAAGCCGTCTTAGACCAATACAATTATAAAAGTACTACATCATCTGCATAGAGTAAAACATATTTCTCTCCCTGCTAATTTAGGGGGATGAGGCAATAAAATGATGACGGTAGAGATAAGATGGACTATAAAACCATTGTTCGAGTGTTAGCCATTGTCCCTCCTATACAAGATAGGCTGGAGCCATATGAATGTGCACCCTGATATTTTTTTTTCTTTGCTTTTTTATAAGCCTGAATGAACCTTGCTCTTAGTTCAACAAACATCTGATCATTTTTGGCTATCCTTGAAGTTTCTGGAGCTGTTAATCTCTGGCCTGATTGGGTGACACTATCAACGTAGACAACAGATCATTTCTAGAACCAACCAAGAGTCATATAGTAACCACTCAAGAGTCCCTATATTGGGAGAATGGTGGGATAAAACAAAATAATAAATAAATAAATGATAGGAAAATTACACATCATGGCGGTTTATAGGTGATATAAAAACATGGGCTGTACTGATATTTTGTCTTTAAAGTGCCACTACAAAACTCTTTATTATTATTTTTCTGCAACCTCTTACATGACTACTTCTTTCAAAAATTCTGTTTTGATTTATTTATTTTTTTTGCAAGGATAGAATGAGTAAAGGGGAAAGGTGGATTAAACTCCCATAGCTTTAAAATTAGTTAAGGAAACAGGATGATTTGCCTTCCATCCTTTTGATCAGAGCTTCTTAAACTTTTCTACTCACAATTATTTTACATGATTCTGTAAACTGATATACAAAATGCAGGAGAAATCAAACATTTGCTAATAAGAAATCAGTATTTGCAAAGCTTGCTAAACAGACTGAT